AGGAGTGGCTGGTGGATTCGAACTGCTGACCTTTTGGTTAGCAGTGGAGCTCTTAACCACTGCACCACCAGGGCTCCGATACAATATAAGGTAATAATATAATATAATATTAAATATAATGCAAAATACCAACTTATTTTTTCCAAGGTTTATTTAGCACCTAGAGTGTGCAAAGATACTCTTCAATCTGTGGAAGAATTGGAGATTTATGGGTGAGACCAGGTGAAACATACCCTCTAACGAAACCCATGGCTGTCGAGTCAATTCCGACTCACAGCGACCCTATAGGACCGAGTAGAACTGCCCCCGAGAGTTTCCAAGGAGCAGCTGGTGGATTCAAACTGCTGTCCTTTTGGTTAGCAGCCGTAGCTCTTCACCACTGTGCCATCAGGGCGCCAGCATACCCTCTACTGCCTTGAATTGTACTTTATTTGCTGTTTGAATGCTTGGCACATGGTGGATACCCGGATACCCCATGGTGGGCACCAAAAAGGGCATTTGGCATTGAAAGGTGGGGGAGAGCACTGTGGAATGGGGGCTGTGGTGACCCCTTCGGAGCAAGGGCCAATGTAGCGGGAACTTCAGGAATGATGGGGACCCTAGCAATAGAAAAAGGCAAGGGGAAGGGGATGGGGGAGGAAGCAGGAAGCAAGGTGCTGTGTTTGGGGATGGGCAGGATAACAACCTGGCTTGAGTCCACGTAACTGAGGAGAGTCCATGTAGCTGAGGAGTCGGTAGAGAGAGGTGAGGCTGGTTTCTGATGCTAGTCTCTGAAGGCCGTAGTCTGTGGGGGTAAGAGGCCTCTGAAGGGTAGATTTTGAACTATTTTGACAAGGTCAAATCGATTTAGTTGATAGTAGCATATAGGACTGATTTGATGAGAAACCAAACCAGTTGCCTTGCAGTCAATTCCAACTCACGGCAACCCCATGTGTGTCAGAGTAGAGCTGTGCTCTATAGGGCTTCCAATGGCTGATTTTTCTAAAGTAGATCACCAGGGCTTTCCTCCGAGGTGCCTCTGGGTGGACTCGAACCTCCAACCTTTTGGTTAGCAGCTGAGCAATCACATTAATCGGTTGCTTCACCCAGAGACTCTGATTTGATGGAAGAACAACATAATTATGGAGGGTGAAGCAGTAAGAAAGATTTGTAGGGCTTTTATAAATATCTGTTTTCTGTTTCTCCTCAATGCGCTGTGGGGGTGAGAGAAGAAGCAACAGGAATGGGGAGTGTCAAGAAGGATCAGAGTGTCGTTGGTCAGTTTGGCACCGGGTGGTCCCATGGGGGACACACTTAGCCAGCCGTCTATGCAGTCAGTGCTCAGAGTTAGAAAGACAACGTGAAGGAACAACGCAATGGCAATGTACTCTGCCTCCATAGAAGAGACTCCTGAACGTCAGAACCAATGTAAGGTGCTGATTTAGTAAATACGTGGAACCGAATCTACATGTCTTTGTAGGTGGAGACAACTCTGTTTGCAACTTGGACTTGTTGGTCCCATTTCGGGGGGCATTTTTATTCCTTAGCTGTTTATAGGAGGGACTAGAATTCTTCAAGGCAGATGACAAGGGTTTATGCCTCACAACAGACCCAGCCTAGCTCTGACAGAGCCCCAGGGTGACACTCAAGACCAGAGCTTCAGTGGTTTGACGTCCTAGGGGATTCATCCCTGCGCTGGCAATCTTTAGGCTGAAGGATTCTGAGGAGACCCTCTGGAATGCTCCTCTTTTCAACCTGAAGTTGGGGATTTCTTGCTCTGTCACGGCTGACTCAGATTTGTCTGCCTTGACAACAAATCTCATACTTTAATGGACTCCACCACCACAGAGATTTTTGGAAAAGATTGGACCGTGGTTACCGTGGGGTTCTCTACACTGGTGCCGCCCATAGAGATAGAACGTGCAATTTTAAATGTCCTCGTAGCCATTTGGAAACCCTGGTGGTGCAGTGGTTAAGAGCTATGACTGCTAACCAGAAGGTTGGCGATTCAAATCCACCAGGCTCCCCTTGGAAACTCTATGGGGCAGTTCTGCTTTGTCCTATAGGGTCGCTGTGAGTCGGAATCGACTCGACGGCAACAAGTTTGGTTTTTGGTTTAGTAGCCACATTAAAAAAAAAAAAGTGAAAGAGACAGGTGAAATTAATCTTAATGTATTTTATTTCACCCAATAGACCCAAGCCATCATAACTGCAATATATAATAGATATAAAACATTACTAATGAGAGATTTTACATTCTTTTTCTACATGCTACATCTTCAAAATCTGGTGTGTGTTTTACACTTCCAGCACATCTCAGTTTGGGCTAGCCACACAGCAAGTGCTCGGCAACCACACGTGGCTGGTGGCTGCCATATTGGACAGCACAACTACAGAGCACGAACTGAACAAGAACTGAACAGATACAAACAAGAATTGTATCCCAGCTGCGGGACATATAGGGAAAGGGTGGTCTAAGAGTTTGGGAGTGGGAGGAGAGTATTGGAATCGCTGTGACTGACTTTCTTTTTGCCATTCTTCAAAAGCTTCTGTGAGCATCCAAGAGGGAAAGGAATTGTCTAGGAGAGAGCTCAGGATGAAAGCTGGCAGAAATACGTCTCTAGCCACAAATAAAGGCAAATCCTCCCCTCTCGCATTACCCCACGTAGGGCATGGAATCTGCTTCGTCCAAAGCTTTCTGATAACTTAGCAAATGTCTATGTCATATACTCTCTCCAAACCAGTTTTATGAGACTATTTAGCCTAAGCAAACTGCTTGAAGAGAATAGAAAACTGAATTTGCATGGGCACAATTTCCTTGATCAAGGAATGTTAAGCAAAAAGAGACCAAAGCAGAAGCTACTGCAATTCAGATGTCATTCCCCTCTGTTTCAGGACGAGGTTCTGCTCGCTTTTCTTTATTTTGGGGTTAATCATGCTGAATGACCACTCTTGTCTCAGTTGAAATGAATTTCCTGCCAACTGGAGTGCTCCTTGTTGGCAAGGGTTGGGTGTTTCAATTCCGAGAACTGTGTGATTGCAAAATCGGGAAGCCAGTTTATCAGGCTGTAATGTTGCTGCCCAATTAAGTGTTTATTAGCTGGAAGATGACTTCAAACCAGCCATTTTGAACCTCAAATACAAGGAATTCACTCTTTTATGGGATAAGTGAACATCAGGAAATCAGTCCATTGTCTTTCTCATAAAAAGTTTAATATCGTCTAAGCATCGTTGGACTAAGAAGATAATTATGAATAGTAATCGAGGATTTCATCTAGAACTGGGACAGCATGAAAATGCTATCAATTTCAGTTCACATTCATCATTTTTAGATTCTTCGTTATATTCAACTAGATGTGAGACATACAGAAGTAGTGGCTGGTTTGATAAGCTTACCACTTTTTATAAGAAGTGGGAGGCTCAATGTTATCCTGTCTGAACAAGTTGCATTAGCCTTGGGGAGCATTTTGTTTTTGCGTTCACAAATCAGTCTCCCCAGGTTCTGTTTAAATAGAGGAAGAGAAAGATGGCCTACTTTAGCAGCCCATCCCAAACCTAAGGCAAACCATATTCAAGCTTTAATTTTCCCAATCATAAGGTTGGGAATTGTGTCTATTTGTAAAAATTACTCTCATATCCTCAGATGAAATGGTCCAAGAAGTAGAAATTAGTATAATGAATCACTGTGCTTCAGGGGAAAGGAGAGCCTCTTCATAAAGACTTTTTGTCGTACTTTTTTCCAGCTTCTTTCGAGATGTCTACTGTTCACGAAATTCTGTGTAAGCTCAGCTTGGAGGGTGATGTAAGTATCTCATTTTCGCCTTGTGTTATGATTAAATTGTGTCGCCCAAAATATGTGCTCTAAGTCCTAACCTCTGTGCCTGTGGTTATCATCCCACTTAGGAATGGGTTGTCTTTGTTATGTTAGTGAGGCAGGATTAGTGCAGGGTGTGTTTTGAGTTAATCTCTTTTGAGACATAAAGGAGATTAAACAAGTGAGCAAGAAGCTGAGATGAGGAAAGAGAGATGCCAAGCCACATGGAGATGGCCCGGGAGCAGAAGCTCAGAGAGACAAGGACCTTCCTCCAGAGCCAACAGAGAGAGAGCCTTCCCCTAGAGCCGACTCGCTGAATTCGTGTGAGAAAATAAATTTCTGTTTGTTAAAGCCACCCACTTGTGGTATTTTTGTTGTAACAGCACTAGAGAACTAAGACACCTCGTGTAATTTTTGCAAATTAGACGTTATCTCTGGATAGCCGTGTTGTTCTTTTTCCTTGTGCATCCAAGGAAGATAAGGATGAAATTCAGACAATCATTATTTGGTGCTTCCCTCTGTATTGCTTTAACTGTTCGTAGCAGTTCAATTACAAAGAAATCCCATGGCACTAGAAACGGTTTTGGCATCACATTAAACTTAGAATGAGCCAGAGACACTGAGATGGCTGAGATTTGATCTTGCTGTACTTAGCACGGCAGCTGGAGTGATTGTTAGGATAATCCTCTGTAATACCAGGCCCCAGGGTTTCACTGACAGTTGGCAGAAGCCACTGCCATACCAAAAATGATCCTGTCATCTGAGCTTCTTACAGAGTCCACGGTGCCCAGGAAGCTATTCCGAGAAAGAACCTATACTTTTCTTTTTCTGTATCTGGAAAAGCTTTTCTCCAAAGGAGTTAGGATTTTTATTCTTTTTTTTAAAAACCAAATAATCAAAGAATTATAATTTGTCATGTTTCCTTTTTTGCTTTGGCTACCAGGGAGCTCATAATTAAATTTAATTGCTATTTATAAGAAATACGTGAACTTGGAAATTCTGATGCATTTGCTTCTTTCTTTTACGGTTAAATTTTTAAGCTATGTAGGGAATTAAAAGTCATTTCAAACACTTTTAGAACCAACTGGACTGTAAGTTTTGAATATGTAAAATATCTAATAATTCTGTACATCTTCCAGATTGCCTTGGCAGAAATTGCTTTTACAAAGACTCAGCACTTAGACTGGTTTCTAGTGGTATCCTGCATGATACTTCAAAATACAACCTCCTTGAAATTAAAATGCAAAGACGCCCTGTGGGCAAGTTAACAGCAGCCTGGGTTACCATTCAGAACTCCTGTATGGTCTCTGATGCTTGCCTGCCCTCAGAGTGTTTAGCATGAATGGGTCTCTGCAAGCAGAGGTTGTATAAAGCCTGTATTTTTAAATCTTTCTTCTTTTCGGAACACGTGCATACTGTTGTTGGCAACAATGCAAGCTGCACATGGAGGTCCAGACAAGTCCAGATGCTAAATAATTTGTCTAACAGATTTGATCCTTAGATTGTTTTCTGTATCAGGTTTCATGAGAGGGCTTTTCATGAAGCCTCTGAAGCTACTTTCTGATCTGATGCGTTTATCTGCATGGAGAGATAGAAGTGAAATAGAAAATGTTGCCTACTCCCCAGTATTTTAAGGAAAGGAAACATGACTTTTGCCTTGCTAATCTGATTTTCAGACAGGCAGATTTTATAGGTAATGGCTCAAGTATCAATTTAGTTTTGTTTCCAGAGATACCGTAAATTTACAAGAAACTTTACCCCACTCACTGTTGTTTTGGAAGAAGACAGGGTATCCTCTGGTAAATTAAACCATATGTGGAATGGCTCCCGGCCAGACTGCTCGTCTTTGTAAATAATTGATGGCACTGTTAATAAATGGGAAAGCATTTTCCCTTAGATGTCCATCCACATTTTATAGCCACCATAGCAAACGCTGTAAGTATTCCAGAATAACACTTTGCCTTTAGATTTTCCCAGTGTGCGCCCCGTTTCCATTGAGCTAGCCTTGCTGGAGAATTTAAATCGTGAAATTAGAAGGAAGTTACGTCGCTAATCCATTTGTGTTTCACAGCTATAAATGTTAACCATATTTACTGTTTGTCCAAAACGGTCTTCACAAGTCCATTTTGAAACGTTTTGTCTAAACTTGAGCCTAGTTTTCCAGCGTGTCCTGGGAGACATTGAGAGCTTGACATCTTGGTTGCTTTCCTGCACCACCTCATGGCTAATAAAATCAAATAGTGAAGGTGCTGGCTGGCTTGTAACTTGACACCTGTGGGTGGAGCATTAAGTCAGGGCACCTCAATCTCCTGACTCTTCACCAAAAAGCAAAGGCGATGGCATCACGTTATGAATGGGCACTGTGTCCTGGGTCCTGGTGGTGGTGGTGCAGCTGGCATTTCGGGGTGAGCAGCCTTGACATTGAAGGGGGGCCCGTGGTGGATGCCTCCACTATCCACTAGGCAACCAGAACCACATGATCCATTCTTTCTTTCTGCCCTCTGCTTTGGGAACTGGGTAGCTGGGCAGAGAAAAGCTGCAAGAGCATTTCAAAGAAGTAGGGAAATATTAACATCTTGGGAAGAAGAACTGAAGCAGAAGCTTGCCGTTGTCCTTACCTCAGTCTGGGGTGGGGTGGGGTTGGGGTGGAGATATTTCTGTCCATCAGATCAGAAAGGGTAATGGGCTTTGAAAAGCACTGGAAAAGGGAGAAGGTATGGTTTAAAAGGCAATAGGAAAAAAAAAATACTAGGAAGAGCGGTCGGCCGAAGGGGTAGTGTTAAAGAAGGTGAGGTGGGGTGGGGAGGATACAGAGAAGAGAACAGGAAGTTGGCAAACACAGAGAGGATGTCAGCTGTCGGGCCAGACCCCCTTGGTGTGCCCCACAGCGGTGGCCACAGCAGAGCCGCAGAAGAAGAGGAGGACACTGTCCATCGCTCACCTGGATGGTCAGAGACAAGCCAGCAAACATTTTCCATTTGCTTTTTAAAGAACTGTAAGCTCAGCGATACAGGCCCAGTGGAAATCCATGTGCCTGTAGCAAAAACTTGGCCAAACACACTTGTCACTCAGGCATTTCCATATTTGCAGCTTGGTCGCGATTGTCGACATCCCAGTTTAGTGCTCTTCAAAGCCTTCTGGAATAAATGGGTGGTTTCAAGTCCTCAGCTTTTCATTGTCTGCTTTTGAGCTTCCACTAAAAGTAGCAATAAAAGTAGGAGTATGCGCTTTTCTATTTGTCTAATTACCTAGTGTAAGAATGAGTTGAATTGTAAAAACAAACAACGGAAAAACATTGTACTTTAGAGTTGTTTTTTCAGCAGGAGGCTCTGAAATGTACCTTATCTGTGTATGCTTGTCTTTTAACCTTAGCACTCCACGCCCCCCAGCGCATATGGGTCAGTCAAAGCGTACACCAACTTTGATGCCGAGCGGGACGCTTTGAACATTGATACGGCCATCAAGACCAAAGGTAGGCGATCCGCTGGTTGTCCTCTTGTCAGGCCTGACTCAGGCGTTTTGCGTTGTCTCTTCATCCTCCCGCAAATAGGCGCACATCGATCATTTGAAATCATCACGGAGCTTTAATAGAGCGGATCCAGATCTATCTCACTCACACCTTCTCCCTTCCTCCCTCTGTCCCTCCTCCCTTCCTCTCTCTTGAGACAACCAGCCAGGTGCTGTCAAGTCGACTCTGACTCGTGATGACCCCGTGAGTGTCAGGGTAAAACTGTGCTCCACGGGGTTTTCAGTGACTGGTTTTTTGGAAGCAAATCCGCAGGTCTTTCTTCCGAGGCTTCTCTGGGTGAACTCAAACTGCCAACATCTTTGTTAGCAGCCGAGCACATTAACCATTTGCACCACCGAGGGGTTCCTTCTTAGGACAGAAGAAGATCTAAAATGTGAGAGAGTATTTTATCCAAATAGTGTAAGGAAATGGAAGTAGGCCGAGGCTAAGATCCAGAAGGCCTGACCCCATGGGTGGTGCCCTGGGACGGGCTTCTCCTTCTGAGGCCTCAGTCCTCCTTCTAGAAGGAAAAAGTTGGTCCTGATGATCCCTAAGAGTCTTTCTCGTTCCGAAGCCCCTTGAGTATCATTAATGTTTGTTGAAAAAAATGCTGGGAAAATTTTACTACTTTGCTCCTAGCTTGACCCAGTGGGTGAAAAATTAAGGCTTTTTTTAAACCTACAAGCTATGCTACTCCTTAGCCTTGGGGCCCGAATTAGAAGTACCATCGGGATGAGTCTATTTCCTCGAGTTCCAGGATGAGTAAGAGAGGACCAGGAGGGTGCAAGCCTCCCTTTTGAAATGAAGCGAATGACGCGTTTAATTGGCTGGAGTTGAGCAAGGACTTGCCCAGGTCGCCGGGTTGCCTTCGTATCTGCAAGAGTAACTTGAGCGAACTTTCCTGGATGATGTTCATGAAGCGCTTCTCTTTAGCGGTTTCTCCATCCCCCGAGTCCCTGGAAACGTTGCAGTTACCCTGGTGAACCTTGTGACTCACCACACATTAGTTTTCCTTTTGGACAAAGTGCTTCCTCTCGCTAGGAGGCTCCATGGAGACGCAGAGCTGACCCTGCAGTGGGACCACCCCTGGCTCCTCCCACTGCCCGAGAGCCGGGCACCGTTTCTCTCTTCCAAGTAGAGTGTTTGAAATTCCAGTCACTCGGACCCATGGCGACCCCGTGTGTGTCAGAGTAGAACTGTCCTCTGTGAGATTTTCAGTGGCTGATTTTCAGAAAGAGATTTCCAGGCCTTTCTTCCCAAGAGCCTTTGGGTGGACTGGAACCTGCAACCTTTCGGTTAGCAGCTGAGCACATTAATCATTTGCACCACCGAGTGCCCAGGGATTCCAAACGACTGACCCATGTGTGGAATCCACGTACAGCTCACTGTGGATGTGGGAACCTAAAACTAAACTGGGAAAACCAAACCCACCGCTGTCGAGTGGATTCCGACGCACAGCGACCCCTACAGGACAGAGCAGAACTGCCCCGTCTGGTTTCCGAGGAGCAGCTGGTGGATTCCAACTGCCGACCTTTTGGTGAGCAGTCGCGCTCTTAACCACTGCGCCACCAGGGCTCCATCTGTCCTAGTCTATGCCTGGCCCATTTTCTAACGGCGTCCCCTTTCCCTCTCAGAACTCTCTCATTTTGGAGGCTAAGTTACATGGTCACCTTTCCTAAAACCCTTGGAGAAATTGAGTGACTTTGTTTTCAGAGACAAGAAGGAAAGTGGGAAGATCCCACTGTGTCCTGTGGATCTGAAAGGGCTCAGGGGTTGCACCCCCTGCCTCAGAACAGCCTTACATTCTATCTGGACACTGTGGGCCACCCTCCAAGATGGCTTTTAAATGACTATCCTTGTTAAGGGTCAGGTTGGGAAATCAGGAAGTTGATCAGAAAACCGATCACAAAATAAAACTAAATCAGGAGGGCTTATCTCACTGTTGGAACCCTGGTGGTGAAGGGGTTAAGAGCTCAGGCTGCTCACCGGAAGATCAGCAGTTCAAATCTACCAGCTGCTCTGAACCCTATGGGGCAGTTCTGCTCTGTCCTACAGGGTGGCTATGAGTTGGAATCGACAATGGATTTGGTTTTGGTTTGGTTTTATCTCACTACAGCCCCGTCTGCTCGGTGGAGTTTAGTGGATGAGAGCTTGTGGAAGCCTGGGTTCAAATCCTGGCTCTGCCACTTGTTATCTGACTCCGGAAAAATCCTTAGCTTTGCTAAGTCTCGGTTTCCTTATCTGTGTTGTTAGCTATCATCCAGTTGGCCCCCAAACTCATGGGAACCCCATGCACAATGGAACGAAAGGCTGCCTGGTACTGTACCACCCCCCGATCGGTTGTAGATCAGACCGTTGTGATCCATAGGGTTTTCACTGGCTGGTGTTCTGAAGTGTAATGGGGCTAATCAAACACCCACCTCACAGGGATTTTGTGAAGATTAAATGAAATAAAGTATGAAGCGCTAAGCAAGGTGCCTGGCCTATAGACAGTGCTCAAAATATGTTAACACACACAGGTTCTCCACTCTCCTAAAAGTCTCCCCTCTCACTATTTGGGTTTGCCTACATTCCTGTGGTTCCCCGACTTGCCATTGAGAAACACACTCAAGTTTAACAGTTACTTATGGGGCCTGGGACAAAGGCTTCTTTTGTTCCTGCCTGAGAAGGCTTTTAGCACTCTGGAATGTAAAGATTGCGCAAATGAACTCTGGGTAGCTGAAACTCGCATGGTAATAAAAATACCTTCAGGCCCTTCCTAGTTGGTAGGATAATACTGTAGTTTCTAAGCAGAAACTTCTGGAGGGCTAAGGTTTTCATTCTTGCATTCCAGTTTGGTGAAAAGCCGCTGACATCGTCAGTATCACATTTATTGAGCGGTGTGAACAGACTGGCACCAAGCACTCACGAACATTTCTCTTAGGTGAACCTCAAATCAGTCTTCTGAAGTAGCGCTCGATCATCCTTAGTTTATGGGTGACACAATTTAGGGTTAACAAGCTCCAGGTCTCTTGGCTTTGGTTGGGATTGGGATTTGAACACAGCTCTGTCCACCCCAGGTCCATGTTCTTAAATACCGTGATGTTTTGCCACCCATCTGTTAGGACTGGACTTTTTTCTTTGTCTTGAGTTATTTTGAGGCATTTTGCATTTGTGATCCAGTTTTTGCTACCCTTCTCTTCCAAACTTAGCGTCCAGCGAACTACACTTGGGGCCGCTTTTTAAAAATTAATTCATTTTTTGGTGGCTAGCTCTGGTGGCACTGTGATTAAGAGCTCGGCTGCTAACCAAAAGGTCGGCAGTTCGAATCTACCAGCTACTTCTTGGAAACTCTATGGGGCAGTTCTACTCTGTCCTGTAGGGTGGCTGGGAGTCAGAATCAACTCAACTGCAACGGGTTGGTTGGTTCGTTTGTTTTGATTTATTCTATTACATAGAACGTCTATAATGGGTCTGTCATGTACACGTAAAAACTAAAGTTTATAAACACTTTACCATACCATACACTTAACGTATATAAACTGATCACTACAGTGGTTTTTTGGAGGCCTGGTGGCCCAGTGGTTAAGAGCTCGGCTGCTAACCCAAAGGTCGGCAGTTCAAACCCACCAGCCGCTCCTTCGAAACCGTATGGGGCATTTCTCCTCTGTCCTATGGGGTCACTATGAGTCGGAATGTAACAACAACAACAGTGGGTTTTAGCATATTCACGGAGTTGTCCCACCATGAGCACAATCAATTTGCGAACATTGTCATCACCCAAAAAGAAACCCTGTACCCATTAGCACCGGTATGAACAGTTTTTAATAACATAGAAAACAGACCAAAAAACCAAACCTCTTGCCATGGAGTCAATCCCAACTCATAAAAATTAGTGTGTTAAAATATTAGGAGTGCACAGCATTATGTATACAGAGTCGAATACTAGACAACATTTATTGAGCACTTGCTGCATGCTAGATATTCTAAACTCTTTATATGAATCATCTCATTTAATCCGTATAGTGGGCCTGTAAATTAGGCACTCTTACTATCTCAAAGATGTTAGCTGTGTTTTAAAAAAAAGGGGACAGTAGAGAACACTGGAAGAAATACGCCTGTAAGTTAACCAGGTTTTTTTGGGGGGATAGGATTAATGGGGATTTTTTTTTTTTCCTTTAGGCTATTTCTGTATTTTTCAAATTTCTCTTCTGAACATGTAATACTTTTATAAGAAGAAAAAAGTTGTGTATTTGAACAATCATTTTCCAGGATATGGTTCTATTTTTTTTTTTTTTTTTAGAAGCATGGTAGTGTTCTGATTTCTTTGCCACTCTAATTAGTACTTAGAGGTAGTTAGTAATTGCTGATAGAAAAATAAACCAGAAGGCTGAAAGAGCTGTGCTTGTTTGTAAAGCTTCTGAGGCTATTGTTTCTGTGGGGCAGATCATCCAAGCTTCGAGTTAACCTGAACAATCTGTAATATTTTGAGTCTTTACATAATCAGAACCGGAAGATTGTGCTTTTTAAAGTTTAGATAAAACTCTCAAGACCCAATTCAGTCTAGTCCTAAACTGTTAGGATATATTAACTTTGCTTTTCATAACAAAACCATTCTGAATCTAAGCTGTTGTCTGGACAGAGGTCAGCAAATTTTTTATGTAAAGGACCAAGTCCTAAATATTTTCGACTTTGCAGGTTATATGGTCTCCTTTCTAAGCAGCTACTCAACTGGGCCATTATGGCAGGAAAACAGCCCTAAACGGTAGGTAAACAAACGGGCGTGGCTGTGTTCTAATAAAACTTTATATACAAACGAGTGCAGGCAGTTTGATTGGGTCCGAAGGCTGAGACTCCTGGTCTAGGATTTCACTCATTTTAACATCCACTCACCTTCATTTTGTTAGTTGCATGGAAAAATGGATATAAGAGTACATACAGTATGATTACAAACAATAATTTTTTTACATCAAGAAGAAAAGACA